ATTACCATTATTATTATTATTATTATTATCATTATTATTATTATTATTATTATTATAGACACCATACTCGAGAACGGCGCAAAAGATGGCATGGCAATATAAACCAAAGAAAGCCTAGATCAAGACAGTGGAAAAGTGACGACTGTCGTCACATCTGGAAAAGTCACTAAGAGAAAACCCCTCTGTAACCATAATTATGAAGCAACCACTGAAGATGCAAGAAACTGATTCACACAAGAAGCTTTACCGGGAGGCTTCAGGAACGAATAAGGGAAAAGAAATAACAAAAGACATGTTTGAAGTTTCTCAAAACAATTTGAATGTTTTTCGTTGTTGGTTTTTTTTTGTGTGTGTGGTTTTTGTTTTTGTTTTTTGTTTTTTGTTTTTCTTAACTTCTGAAAAAGTTATAGGTAAACACAACGTTCAGGGGCGCAGATCCGTCTGGCTATCACATACACGAATGACGACAATCGCTCTGATAGAATCAAAACGTAGGCAGGTAGATTAAGTCACACAGACTCGCAAGAGAAAGACTTAGAACGTACAGTCGAAGCAGAACTCCCTTGGGCCTCTTCAGAAGACATAAAAATGAAAGAAACGAAAGCACAAACAACAGTACAATAGTAATTCATTGGTAGATAGCGGCACACGATAAATTGTGGAATCACCCACACGGTACCAAGAAAAGCAGTTCCCTCAGAATTCTCTTTAGCTGAATAGAAGGCATATAATTTATAGGCTACAGTACCTCACATTGACATAGGACTTCGCATTAACGCCTTCATTTTACTAATACGACAGTATAATAAAAAAAATTTTAATGCAAAAACAGTTCATACATTTGTACCAAAAAACTTTTGGCGGACAACTTTGGCAACTTTGGCATGCCCCCCCCCCCCCCCTCTCTCTCTCTCTCTCTCTCACACTTATTTTTTTCTAAGAAAGTTGGCGTTGAGTTGACTGCCTCTTTATCAGATTGTCTGGAAGAAAGGTGCTTTTCTGAACATAATCTAGAACTTCCAGCTTTGGCAGACCCAAGCTATATGCTATAATTTCTGATTCTAGTTCAGGAAACGATATAGAGCAGAAAAACGATGCCAAAATATATTCGTAAATTAAACAAAAATAATTTCTTATCAGTTTTTGCCGCGTCTCTTTCTCCCCTCTCACGAAGCCCAATCCCAGACTGTAAACTGGACTGACATGAACATCCTGCTTACTGTTGAGGACAAAATAACAAAACTATGTGATGACGATACTCCGCAAGCTTGTGCATATTTATTTGTCATATTCTAGGCTTAGCCCAAATTATGTTCGTGGTATACGGCCGCTTTCGAAAACTTTTGAACAAAAATATCAGAAGATTAGCAACCTTTACGATAGTGAACATTTTTATCCTCTATTCAACAACTTTATTTTCATCCCCTCCCCCTCCTTTTCCCCCCTTCCCTTCCGCCCCTTAACTAACAAACCAAAGCCAGTTCTAACCATGCCATACATTGAGATACGGTCATCACTATGAGTTCAACGCAAATCCGGACATCGAGCTATGAGTTTTCAGTCATTCCCACCCCCATCCCAGCCCATCCATGAAGCGGGAGGGGCAGAAAGAGTTACTACTTCTAATAATGATGTGTGCCATTAAAAATCAAGCAGTTGGAAAACCGCCACTTTCAGTACCAGCGAACCCTGCTGATTCAAAATGAGTTTCTGAACCTGTAGACACATTCCTGATTACGGTCTGGTGTGTTTCATCCGCGATGAGCATCATAGAAGTGAAAAAGTTCTTTCAATTAAGGCACGGCAAGTGAAGAGGGGAGGGGGGGTGGCAAAACAGTAACAGAAAACATTTGGCACCAGACCCTTCGCAAATAAGCATACGAATTACTGTCAGGTGGACGTCACAATAGCCCCACAGAAACGGCACAGCGTCCACTGCACGGTAACAGAGAGACTCTAAAGTCGTAGACTATCAAAACGAGGGAAATGGGGGGGGGGGGGGTCGTCTTCCAGCATGTAACTTATCGCTCGTCAAAATAATGAAATCCAAGAAATTAGCATTTTTCGGCCAATTTGGAAATATTTTTCAAATGTTTGTTTTTTTGGCTCAACACATTGTTTGTCCATTCTAAAACACTTTAAAATGTGTGGATAATAAGGGAAAACGTTGATTAAAGGCACATAAAAATGTGAATTTTCAGTTTCCAAGGACTCTTAAGCTATGGGAGTCACCAAACTTTGGAGGCCATTTTCTTGCTAATTTTCCTTCGGAAACCAGGTGACCCCACCTCCTTCAATCACAAATATCTTGACTTCTATTCAAGGTCAATGGATATCTTTGTCATCGAAAACAAGGCAAAGTAACAAGCTTTACGATGACATCAATAACTCTTTATGCCCAAAAATTGACGGGCGCCGGATTACACCACGTCGTGACACATATACCATGCTATTTAGGATAACGAAAGGCTCGGGGTCCGACCCACCTGCGGCATGCCCTGAAAGAAGCCGCGTAACGTAGGATGCGATCAGAGAACACAAAAAACAGGCTCACAGCAGCAACTGTTTGACCTGTGAAACCCAACCGCCAAAAATAACACATACTTACAGATTACAAAACCGTTGTAAACTAATCACGCACGCAGGACCTTTAGAACTGCTGCTTTCAACTACTTAAGGCCGCAAGACGTTTTATAATCACTGTATCTTCAATTCGTAAACAACTGCAGGCTACAAGAGATGTAGAACTTTCTTTTAATTCTCTTTCTTCCCCACGTCTAAGCCAAGAAAAACCCAAAATCTTGCCTTGCAGTCAGATAGAGAACGTGCCGCGGTTCAATCCAGTTAATATGTTGCCCCCCCCCCCCCCCCCCCCCCCATACACACACACACGACTCACCTTAGCCCCTGAGTCAAAACATTCCAGTCCAAAACAGGATAGTATTACTCCCTTGGAAACCAAACTTTCTTTTACAGTTGGTCAACTTCTCCATTTCGTATGCACCCGAATCTCCGAATGATTAACGAATTCCGATCAGCAGAAAACCCAGCTAAATAACATGTAAACTGTATTCCGCCAGCAATCAAATGTGCCAACTGGCGACGAAAAAAATCCAGAACTTTTCGGAACCTGTTGAAATGTTAGCGGAGACTCTAAATATACGGATCACATTGTGTATAATATGTTTTGTATCAATGTTACTTTGGCAACAATCAGCCTGAAGTCGGGCAGAAACTGGACGGTTTCAGAAATCCAGATTTCCAGATGTATCCGGAAAATAGGCAGATCTGGACAATACCAAAGACAAGGTCTGCTCCCAAAAACACAGCAAAAAAATACATACTATAAGGGCATATCAGTAGAAGCTCAGCTAACCTCACTGAAATTCCAACTAATGGCTTACACATTAATAATGGCAAAATATGCTAAACATTCAAAATTAAGGTCACCATGTGTGAACTTATTTCTGAAAAACAAAACAGTGCGGCACGCACACAGCGAAATCGGATGGACGTGGAAGTCTTTTAGTTACGCACGTATTTCGCTGTGAACTTGCTCTCAATGAAAAGAATATAAATGTAGGCCTACAGGGTGTCCAAAATTCGATGACCGCCAAAAAAGTTAAATGAAATACGATCCTCTTTAAACACAGTAACGTCCTTTTATAGAAACATCAAGGAACCATCTGGACAGGCAATAACATAATATATAGCATGAAAAATTAGTTCGCTTTGAAATTGTTAGCTTTACAAAAGATGTTCCATGAGTGCCCCCAATTACGCACAAAGCATTTCTTTGTCCTGTTCTGTGTCGCGTTCTGTCACAGCTACAGCATGATAGCTTTTACAAGGTCTGGGTCTTGATTTCGGAGTTCCTTTCATTTACATCATCTGGTGTTTATGGTGCTCACTACACACAATTCCCAGAATTATCTTTTCTAGTCCTGCAGAAATTAGCCTCATCGCTAAAGCAAACAAACCATAGAACGTTCTCCATTCGGCTCACTTGTCTTAAAAAACCCAAGCACTCATTGTTTTTCTATCCAAAGAATTGTCTGGTGTTTTCCTTGGTGGAAAAAATGTGACATAGTTTCATTATCAAATTATGGTTTAAGATTCTGTGCGTTGGGTTTGACTAACCTAGTTCACCGCTACATCCTCGAACAGACTTCACGTGAACTGATTCCATATTTCGCACCGTTTTATTAAAGCTTACTCTCTTCATTAATGGCTTTCTGACAGACATCCTTTTACCTTGAACTGGTCATACCACACCCGAATTGCTTTTCCAGAAGCTGCACTGGATCTAAATCTGGTATCAACTTCTACTCCCCGCAATGACAGACTTGAGCTCCTTTTAAGACTTGAATCCAGCATGTTTTCTAATACAACACGCCCTTTCTGGGTCACTCCAAGATATGGCTGATGCAGTGGTGCTCATCTGACCAATTTAAATTTGAGCATCGATTATGGTGTCCAGATGATCAAACATATTTCCCTTTATATTTTGTGCCGATCCATGTAAAATCGGGGATGTTATTAATTGTTTTATCGTGGTCATCGAGCCTGGGACAGTAGGTATAAAGAAAAATTTGAGACCTCAAAAATCTGTCCGCTATGTGCGCGTTTGCTATGTGCCAACTATATCCACAAATATACACTATGCCAAAAAGATAATACTGCTTTTCCTGCACAGTGTTGTTGTCTTAAGATAAATGTAACTCTATGGCATACAAAATGTGTTGTAAGCTACAGAATGGAACAGCAACCTACATGCACATCTTCCTTGGCAAGACTAAAATATTCTAAATTCTACTTTAATTATTCTTTGATAAAATCTCTCATCCTTAATATTTTAACCAATCAAAAAACTTGTAACACTGTATCATGGAAAAAGAGGGAGAATGAGTGAGTGGGGAAAGGGAAATGAGAAGAGAGAAGACGGAAAAGAGAAAAGAGGAAACACACACACACGCGCACACACACACACACACACACACACACACACACACACACATACAGAGGCAAAGAGAGACAGAGAGAGACAGAAATGAGAGACTGAGAGAGAGAAAGTGGGACATAAATGAAGGAATAGAAAGACAAGAGAAAAACCATGGGAAAAAATGACATAACAAAACGTAAAAAAAGAAAAAGACATAAACACAGACATAATGAGACAATTTGGAAAAAAAAACCCAAATAAATAAGAAAAGAGAAAAAAGTTTATACAACATTGATAGAGTACTTACCATGAAAAACATTCCAGCATTATTAGCTGCTGAATCAGATGTTAGTGCAGACTTCAACTTGAGTGAGCCCAAAGCAGATTTAACCTGAGAAGTAAAATTTAAAAAACATCAAAAACATTGAAATGATCATGAATAGCCCAGTTCAAGAAAACAGGGGAGCTATACAACTTTTTCAAGGGAGATTTGAGGAAAGAAAATCCACAGACCTGGCGTCATGTCCCTCATAAAATATCAGGTATAAATAAACAAAATATATTTATGTGTCACAGCGAGGAGGGATCAGGCACTCGTCAATTTTTGGGCATGTGAAGTTATTGGTGTCATCTTAAAGCTTTTTTATTTGTCTCGCTTTTGAAGGTAAAAATACCCATCTATTTTGAATAAAAGTGAAGATATTAGCGATTGAAGGAAGTGTGGGTTGACAGGTTTCAGAGGTAAAATTAGCAAGATAGTGGCCACCAAAGTTTAGTGACTTCCATAGCTCGAAAGTCCATTGAAACTGAAAATTTACTGTTTTTGTATTTTTAATCAACGTTTTTTTCAGTAATATCCACAAAATAATGTGTTTTTAAAAGGACATAAAAGGTGTTGAGCTCAAAAACAAAAATTCGAAATTCGATTAAAATTGCCACACCAACAGAAAAAGGCTGGGTTTTTTTCAATTTCACTATTTTGACAAACGCCTGATTTCACCACAATGCCTCACATTATACTACAGAATGATAGCGCTGCAAAAGGAAACTACAATATACATTGTAATCTTTTACTTATACAAAACCCCCATTTCTTGAATTTGCACATCCTCATCGCTTTAAACTTTGAGTCTTACATCTCAAGGTGAACTTCTAATCATTAAAACATTCAACGGAATCGTGTCAATCTCGACAGGCGAAGGGGACAGAAGTCCTGCTAGATCTTAATGACCTCACAATCATTCCCTCCTCAGCTGAGGAGGATAATATGAATATCAAACTGTATTCAGCAGGCTTGGAGACCTAAACAGAATAAAGATGTAAAGTGTCGGTCGACAGCTCAGTATAAGGCTCCGTCACTTTTCCAAATGGCGTATGGTGGAGTCTTAAACGAAGCAGTCGATATTATTGTGCCCCAACCTCTTTAATAAAAGAATAAGACATATTCCCCAAAAGTACGTTCTTTCATCAATATAAGTAAAAATCCTTTTGTTTTAAAGAACATACCTCCTTCAAAAAGACAACCCCATAGAGAATACAGTACAATATTCATCGTCTACACACCATATTACTTTCATGTGAGAATTTCAAGTTAGACTTTCCAAAATAACCTAGGTAGTCGTGAAGCTAATCCATCTAGGTACTTCTGCAAATTCTTATTTTTATTCTAGGTCATTGATGAAGGAAAGGTTGTGATTAATACGTACATTTTCAAAACATCACTTTTGAAAATGAAGATTAAATCAAAAAGGTCTACTGCTACGTGTTTGAGATCAGGGGCTGAAATTAAAAGTAGTGGTTGGGTAGGAGGATAAAAGCTTGCAATGTTATAGTTGTTTCAGTTGCATTGTTGTCGTTGTAATGATACTGGAGTTATTACATCCTATTTGGCATTTCATGTTTGGCCTTAAGGCTTGGGAAAAGACCTGGCAAGGTCAGACAGAGAATAAAGATGGCAGCCCCCATGTGGAAGCTGAATCCCCTGGTTCCATGTTAAGTGTATTCCTGAGTGTCTGACTGAATGAATGGAAACTCGCCGCCAGAGAAAACAGTTGTAGCTGTTGTTCTTGTTCTTACTGCTTTCCCCCATCTGCACGAAGACATGTAGTAGGATGAGCATGTCTTCTACAGTATGTTTCTTAATTCCACTTAAAGATGTGGACATTATAGGTAGTGATGGAAGAAAGTGTTAGCAATGTACTGGAAAACACGTACTCCGGAGCTCATTAAAAATTATGATCCTTTATAAATGACACTGTGTGATTAAATTTATAATGTACCCGATTGTCTGTAGTCAAGAAGCGACGACCAATCAGCATGCAGCAAGGAGCAGAATACATTTTTTTAAAGTGCACGCTGGTGAAGGGGTGGGGGAAATTCAAATCACTGATTCACATATCACTGTCCCCGTCGTTTTATGCAAGAAAAATTCTGAAATTAAGCAAACTGAGCCAAAAAATGTGAAATTATGCAGTTCTGTTTTAATTTTAACAAAGAATGATAGAGGAAAATAATCAGAAATTATGCAAAAAATGATCAAATTTTGCTAAATTATGCGGGGTGCATAAAACCACGGGGACAGATATCAGAACAAACCTTGCCCTCATCCAAGTCACTGCTGCCTTCTAGAAGTACGATGCTTTTGTCAACGGCCAAGTAATACACAGAGTGCTCTCCGGGCATGGCGTTCGAGCCATCTGTCCGGTCAACAGCAAGACGCATGCCCACCTCAGAGCCAACACGAGCTTCAGTAGTATCAAATTTTACTGAGACCTGAGGAAACAAAGGTGGAAAGATACTGAGATGTGACAATGTGGACCCCTGTTGTATACTGAAGTTTCATTTTAACCTTTCAGCCATTCATTTGTAAGCCCACAGAACCTATGTGATTTCTTTGTCTTGACATCTAGATATACACACAGTACCCAAGCTGAGGCCTGCATTAGATACACAAAAGGGCAACTGTAGCTATGCTTTGGCATAAGCCAAATCCATAGGGTTACAGTACTGAGATGTAGTTATATGAACTATTGTAAAGTACTGAGATTTTCAGACAAAAATTGCAAACAGACACTGAGATACAATGCTTTGAACCGTAGTAAGAAAATCTATAATACTTATCTCATCTCCTTCGTTTTTGTGGCTTTTCAGTGGGTTTTTTAGTAGAAGTTTTACGGTGCTCGCAACAGCATAAGGTCATATGAGCACCATTTTTGTGTTTGTTACTCTCTTGTAACAATACTAATCTTCAACAAACATATTACCTAATTGTACTGCAAGTGCTGTAAAACATTTACAAACACAAAAATAAAACAATTTGTGAATGTTACCTATACGTGCACATAAGAGCAAAAAAAATTATGTTTGAACGAGTAAACTGACCTGAATGAAAGAATGAAAGTACAAGATAAGGGAACATGATTACAGGAAAGACAGTATTCAATTTATCAATTGCTAAGAGGACAGATCTCTTACGACGTTCATATTATAGCAATACACTTAAAACTATCAATTTTTTGGCACTCACTCTCCTCCGCCCCCACTCCTCCCCCCCCTTTCCCAATTTCAAAATTAATTAATAATGCTGTTGTAATGTTAATGTCATAGTTGTAATTACCCCAGCCAATGTCAACTGGATGTAGTTCCCCATCTTCAGTAACAAACCTGAGGGTGGAAGGCGTATTTAAAAAAGAGTGTTTTGAGTCCTTGGTGTATATAGAGTATAGAGTCTTTGAGGTAGTTTCAGTTTAGTTTTGGAGAGTAACTTATAAAGGATAGAAAGAGGAAATATAAGGATGATGGATGTATGAACAGCAAACAAGGTGCAAACCACACCTGGGTACCTCCTGACCACCCACTTCTTTGAAATAAAATGGTGACAACCGAAGCAGATTCAGGACAGGAACCAGAGAGGAGAGCTTTACCTTTTTGTTCAAGCAGGCCTGTGGTGTTATGGACACCACATCAGCGACGACCCGGTAAATAGATCCTGAGGTCATCATGAACACGGCCACATTAGCACTTGGACACATTTCCTGTTTGACATCTAAACGGATCCTGTCACCAGACACCATTCCCCCATCGACAATGTTGCCCTGACTGGTCACCTGAAAAAGAAGAAAGGAACAGCTGGTAACTCTTGCTTCTATAAAGCATTTGATTATCACAAAGTTTGCATGTACTCTTTGAACCTACAAACATTTCTGCCGTTGCCACAGCTTCCAATTATCAGTAAACTTGGCAGCCTATGGATAGTACCATGTTACTCTTCAACTTTCCTTTTAAACAATAGAAAAAAGTGCCAATGTAATGCAGTACAACCTCCTGAGGGTTCTCATAACTTCACGATAACCCCACCCCCCCCCCAAAGGTGAACCAGTTAGTTTCAAATTTCCATTTCAGTTTTTTGAGGGATATACAGTGTTGTATCCTGTCAGATGTATCCCACCATTATCATAGATATATTCAATACTTTTCTTGTAGTTGTTACTTTGACATTATTTCTCTCTGTGGACATACACTGATTCAATTCAAGTGAA